AACCTACTATGGCGGCTACATTGTCACTTCCTATCCCTATTCCAGCGATCCCCCGGAGACCATTGGATGGTCTACCGAGGCGACCGACTTGGGTTTCGTCGACGGTAGCGAGTATGCTGATGCCGACATCATTTGCCACAAGAGTGCCAAGCCCGGTGCCATCTCTGCTGAGGTCAAGGCCGGTGGTACTGTTGAGCTCCAGTGGACTACCTGGCCCGACAGCCACCACGGCCCTGTCCTGACCTACCTTGCCAACTGCAATGGTGACTGCAGCAGCGTCACCAAGACCGACCTCGAGTTTTTCAAGATTGACGAGAGCGGTCTTATCAACGACGACAACGTCCCCGGTACCTGGGCCAGTGATAACTTGATCGCCAACAACAACAGCTGGACTGTGACCATCCCCTCTGACATTGCGGCTGGCAACTACGTCCTCCGTCACGAAATCATTGCCCTTCACTCTGCTGGTAACAAGGATGGTGCTCAGAACTACCCTCAGTGCTTCAACTTGAAGGTCACTGGCGGCGGTGATCTCGCTCCTTCTGGCACTGCTGGTGAGAGCCTGTACAAGGACACTGATGCTGGTATCCTCGTCAACATCTACCAGTCTCTTTCCTCCTACGATATTCCCGGACCTGCTATGTACAACGCTACCTCCAGCTCCTCCAGCTCCAGCTCCAGCTCCAGCTCCGGCTCCAGCTCCGGCTCCAGCTCCGGCTCTGCCAGCTCCGCTGCCGCCTCCAGCAGCTCCAGCACTACTGCCGCCGCCGCCGCTACCAGCGTTGCTTCTTCCGTCACCTCTGCTGCTGGCTCCGTCGTTACTCAGACTGCTACCGCTGTTGAGACTGATACTGCCACTGCCTACCAGACCTCCACTGAGGTTGCGCAAGTCACCGTCACCGGCAGCGCTCCCCAGCAGACCTACGTTGCCACTCCCAGCAGCTCCAGCTCTGCCTCCAGCAGCTCCAGTGCTTCCGTATCCACCAGCACCAACCTCACCAGCTACTTCGAGTCTCTGAGCGCTGATCAGTTCCTCAGCGTCCTCAAGCAGACCTTCACCTGGTTGGTCAGCGAGAAGAAGCACGCCCGTGACCTCTCCGCCTAAGCGCTATGCTCTGGGGTGAACACTAGATCGATCACACTTCTTTTCCAATCTTCTATATAAATAGCCATTGTGCTTTTCCATTTTACTGTGATTATTCTATTGATTACGGGTCGGGCATCCTGTTATGTATCTATAAAATCAATTCAGAAGCACTGGTTTTTCCAATCCAATTTTTCCTGAGGTAGCGGTAGGACAAGATTCATTTTCACATAGTAGAAGCTCCGGACTTGCTACAATTGCAACTGCAGGAGATCTCTAGACGGAAAAAACAATGGAATCTGGCTCTGTATCTATGTCCGGACTCTCATTCCGCATGCTCAAAGTGGAAGCAGCCGCGGTGCACCTGGCAGAGTGAATGAGAAAAAGATGATGTGGGTGGTTCCTTGCCCGGCCAGGGCCGTCAACGCGGGGCCACTACACTAACTTCGCCATCAGGTTGTCCAGCCCTGAGTTCACTTGCCTTCACTTTCTCCATTACGCACCTCATCTAGCCACATACATTGATTGATTCTCTCGCCTAACATCCGCCTTTCCGAGCAACTCTTCTCCAATATGCCTCCTGCGCAGAGGACTTAACCCGCCGACGGCGACATCGAACCCAACCAGATGAGTCAATCCAAGTGGCTCAAGAACTCCGGCTATAGCGGTCTCTGGGAGTTTGGGCTCTCCTACGGCCTGAAAATTCACGATCAGGAAGACCTCGCGGAGGCCAAGCAGATCATGCAAGGCTTGAGAGATATGGACCAGGAAGAGTGGGAGAAGAAACAGACGCAGAAAAAGTAGCAGACTCTACAGGAAGGTGGACTGCATTTTGCTGTATTGGGGTATGTTCCGACGCCCTTTATACTTGGGGTCTGTATTGTGCGAGGAATACTGATGAGATTATTTTAGCACTGCTTGTTGTTTCGCCAGAGATTCTATGGAGTTCTAAGGGAATATGGCTATGCAGGCGGGGGGTAGTGGGAGATGTCTCTTTACATCATGTCAAGCTGTTGACGGGATGGCCAGGATGACTATGTTTTGTTCTTTTATGTTACGTACTGTACCTCGCGACTCGCGATGATCAATCAAATCAAAGGCGGGGAAAAGCGGCCGATTGTTGTTGCGGCAGTCAGGCCCATCCATCACATTCCCCTCCATCACAAGCCCATCCATTCTTCCCTCTGGAAAACATAGCTTTTTTCCCTTTTGCGCGCCTTTGATCTTGGAATGGTTGGAGGGCGTTGATTTACTACATTGGCACACATACTATCTCCTTCTATCTTTTTCTTTTCCGCCACCATGTTCAAGAAGAAGCCCACCGTAACTTACCCCTCCCCCGCACTGTCGAGTCTCCGAGCCGGTTACTCAAATTTCATCACTGACCACATTTTTGATGACGACAGATCAAGAACCTTGCGCCCTTGCGCTCTTCTGATCGAAGGAAGATCGCAGACCAGATTATCGCTGATTACAAGATCGAGATCCCCTCATCGAGTGCGCGCACCGAGCCCAGCGGTGACGATTCGGCTGCCCCCAGCAGCGCATCCAACCCGACGGCGCCAAACCTCACCTCGATCCGGAATGCGCTTCTCCCCGACAACTGCCTGTCCGCGCGCTTCACGACGACGGCCGGACCGCAACTCCGCGAGGTTCAGGGTACCGTCTACGTGGGGGCGCATCCCGGAGGCGACGAGCGCGTCCTGTGGTTTAAGGTCGACCACGGCCCCGGCGCCGACGGGCGCCTCTACCCGACAGTCTACACACTATGGCACAACGCAGACTTAGTACCTCTGCTGCACACTCCGGGCATGGTCATGCAGAAGCTCCAGGGAGGTGCGGATCTGATGACTCCGGGCATCGCGAACGAGCCGCCGTTCGACGAGCGTGCGGTTAAAGGTGCGGTCGTCGCCGTGGCGGATCTGGACAGGTATACCGTGCCGCGGTTCGTAGGGGTCTGTGAGATCGATGTCTCGGCGCTGGGAGAAGTGCAGGGCGCTAAGGGTCATGCTGTCCGTGGACTTCACTGGGAGGGTGACGAGCTCTGGGCTTGGAGTTCGTCGTCCAAGCCTGGTCAACCTGCTCCCGAATACTTGGAAGGGTGGGACGACGTCGAAGAGGAGGACAGCGGCGAGACGAAGGAGATTGAGGGAGCAGTGAATGATCTTCACTTGGATGAGCAGGCTTCTGCTCAGGCTGCGGGAGACGACGAGGCTTCTGCTGCAGCGCCTCAACCGGTCGAGGAAGAGCCTGTCGTGGAGGAGAAAGAGCCATCGACCAAAGGTCCGAGAGGCCTGCTACTTCTTCCGATAACATTTCGTGCGTTCAGCTAACATTGCACAGAGATTGACGACGCCTTCGAGAAGGCCTTCCTTTACTCGTTATACAAGCTCAAACAAGACAACCCTTCAGCGCCCAACCACGGCTTGTCCTTGCCAGTCCAGCCGTCCGCGCTGGTGTCGAACATGATCACGCCCTACCTTCCCATTCACACCCCCCGACAGGCTCAATTCTACCAGATCAAGAAAACGAGCTGGAAGAATGTGAAAAAGTTCATCAAATATCTCGACAAGCAGCGCCTGGTCAAATCCAAGGACCGCAACGGCCAGGAAACCGTGATTCTAGACGTCGACTTCAACGATCGCCGGGTCGAGCAGTTCGTCCCCTACCGACTGCCCTCCAAGAATGCCGCCGAGAACAACGCCGCCGGCAACAAAGCCGGCGCCGCCCCGACCAGCAGCAAAGCCATCGCCTCCTCCGACAGCGACCCCTCTGTGGGCCAGACGCTTACCGTGCAGACCCTGTACCGACCGACGGGCAAGCTGGCGCCGACCATCTTCCCGGCGCTGTCCAGCACACACCCCAGCAACTACTACAAGTACGCCGACGTCTCCGCCCACCTGGACCAGTACCTGCAGTCGCAGAGCCCGCCGCTGATCGACCCCCACAACAAACGCATCGTCAACCTCAACCCCTTCCTCGCCACCACCGTTTTTGCTTCGGGCTCGTCAGACGACCGCAGCACCCTCGCCCGCGGCAAGACCACCCGCGACGCCCTCCTGAAACGCCTCGTCGACGACCACGCCCTCCTGACGGCCCACTACGTGATCCTGAAACCGGGCCAGACGCTGGCCGGTGGCGTCAAGCCCAAGGCCGGCGCCGCCCCCAAGGCCACCATCACCCTCGAGCGCCGCACCGGCTCCAAGACCGTCACCAAGGTCTCCGGCCTGGAGGTCTTCGGCATCATCCCCAGCCTGCTGGCCGAGGAGCTGCAGAAGAAATGCGCCAGCAGCACCAGTGTCGCCCAGGCCACGGGCGCAGCTAAGGGCGTCATGGAGGTCTTGATCCAGGGTGATCAGCGACGGGCGCTGGAAGAGGCACTATCCCGGCGCGGACTGCGCTCGCAATGGATCGATGTCGTCGATAAGACCAAGAAGAAGAAATAAGGAGAGTCACCTTTCACTCGTCCGTAGTAGCGTCTCGAACAAGCCCTTACATACCTATATAGCCAACCTGACATCACTTGGAGGGAAGCTGCAAAACAGAAACAAGGGACAACAGTCAATTGTATATACACACAAACCTCTACATCCTGCGGATTTGGGATCGAACTGAAATACCACAACTGTCAGACTTCTACCAAAGAACCCACAGCCACTGGATACACGGACACGGACATAAATGCTTTGGAACCCAAGTCCATTTGGAAGAAAAGCTAAATGATAACAAAATAGGGGGTAACTATACAACGCCATTATAATATGGTCTTCTTTTAAAAGTCAAAGGAAATCGAGCCCAGGCCATGCTTTTTTTTTTCTCTCTCGTGATCCCATCCCACACACACTCTTTCATGAAATAGACAAAATACTGGTATCGAAGTCTCTTTCTTCTCTCTCTCTTTTTTTTTTTTTTTTTGCTGCAAGTCTTTACTCCTGCTTGGCATCCACCTTCTTGGCGGGGTGGTCGCCATTGGCACCGTCCTCCTCACGGGCGCGCTTCTGACCGGCGGACTCGTCGGTAGTGCTCTGGACAACGGGGACGCCCCTGGAGAGGAGAATGTTAGAAATTGTGGTCACTTTTTTTATTGAGGATATGCAAGGATGTAGACAGGAACTTACCGGGCGTCTTTCTGAATCTCCTTACGCTCCTCCTTGGGCTCCTCCTTCTTGTCGCTGAATCCGTTCTTCTGGTCAGCGGCACGACGATCCCTCCAGTCGCCGCGCTTGTTGTCGCCGCGACCGCCACGGTTGCCGCCGCGGCCACGGCCACCACGGTGGTGACCACCACGTCCCCGGCCGCCGCTGGGCTTGATGCGGCCGGCCTCGATCTCGCGGGCCTTCTCCTCGCAGTAGTCCTTCTTGCTCTTGATGAGCAGGTCCTGGTCCTTCCACTTGGGCTTGGGGTCCAGGGCGAGGAAGGCCTGCTGCTTCTCCTCGGACTCGAACTCGACGAAGACGCTGCCCTTGAAGGTCTTGTCGTAGGAGCGACGGAGACGGATGGCGTTGACGGGGCCGTAGGGGGCGAAGAACTCCTCGATCTCGAGCTGAGTGGTGGGGCCCTCCTCGCCGAAGCCCTTGGCGTAGACGCTGCGGCTCATGGCCTTGTCCTCGAACACGCGGACCACGGTGGGGTTGTGGTTCTCGGTCACGGTCTCGGGCAGGGGGGTCTTGCGGCGCACGCAGGTGTCGTTGTCGGTGAGCTCGACGGTCTCGGACGTCTTGATGGCCTCGACGATGGCGCTGAAGGGCTGGAAGCGGCGCATGCGCTTGAAGGAGTGGAGGAGCTCGAGGGAGACGGGCCGGTTGCTGCTACCACCGACCTTGGAGAGCAGGAACTTGTCCATGGGGAGGTTGGAGTCGGAGAAGTAGAATTCGACCTGCTTGCGGATCTGCACGGGGTCGCTGGTCACCTCCTGGCTGGAGGGGTCGAACTTGACGTTGTTGCGGTAGTTGGTGCGGCCTCCGCGACCCTGCTGCTGCTGCTCTTGCTTCTTGGTCTCCTGCTTTTGCTCCTCGGCCTGGGCGGACTTCTCGCCCAGCTTGGCGGCCGCCTCCACGATACGGGCCTCCTCGGCAGCCTCGTCGGTCTGCTTCGTCTCCTCGACGGCAGCAGCAGGAGCGGCGGCCTCGATGCTCTCACCCTTCAACTCGGCCAGAACATTCTGGACATCCTTCTCAGCCTCAGCATTGGGCTGGGCGACGGGCTTTTGTTCGTCAGACATGTTGTGATATTATGGATATGAGGTGTGTGGGAAGTTCGGTAAGATGATGATAAGAATGCACCTCCTGCAATTGAGAAGATATCAGTAACCGCGGACCCGAAAATTAGTATTTATCAAGAATGCGCGGGGATGGGTAGGGGTAAGCGAGCATCAATAAATTCGAAATCTCTCGCCGGGGGGAGCAGCCGCGATACGGATTCGCCTGGCCAATAATGATCGGATGTCCGCGTGCAGCAAGAATGGGGGGCAAATTAGATCGAGTAGGAGTGAATGCTCACCTGTGAGTATTTCAGTTGCACGAGATGCAGGAAATTTGTGAACGGAACGAAAATCTGTCCAGAACCACTTAAAAAAAATAAAATAAGATTGAAGGAAAGAAAGGGAGTTTCTGCCTCAGCTGCAAGAGGGAAATTTCCCAGACCAATGCGCGGCGGGGGAAATTTTCTGACCGCCCGCGGAGCTGGCGCCACAATCGCCGACTCCCTTGATGCCTCAGGCATGAGTATGTGGCGCATGGTTGAGTCGGGAGCGAGTGCGACTAACCACTTTGGGACATTGGAACTATGCACCTCCTACCAATTGTCCGGCTGTATCTAAATTCTACTCTTCGCATGAGTACCACCATCATACTTTGGAATAGAAACATCAATGTAGTGATCAGAATGCCTGACTAACCAATGCTCATCAGACGTCAATTCAATGAGCTGGTCCTGCCACATGTTGCTCAAATCAGCCTCAGCATCTGAATATCAATCGATCAAGAATCTGAGCTCTTCTCAAAGCAGCATTGACAGACTCGATGGCGCAAGAAAGCAACTGCTTTCTTGGGGCACTTTCTTCTATCACGCAATGTTTTGACATTGACGACTGGTGTCGCTCGCTCAATTGATGAAGTACATACACTTGTCAATGTCCTCACTAGCCGAACGACGTGTAGCCAGGCTATGTCACGCTACTTGGTTCCCATCGCATTTCAAAACAATGGTTTGCAAATACAACTACTAACTCCACCCCACAATTGATCTCGCAAAGGAGTTGGAAGCAGAAAGAGTTGTTCGTCTGGGTTCACAATTCACTGCCCTGGTTGAGCAATATTTCAGCATGTCCTACTTTCCTTCCGGCAGTAGATGCACCTGCCTTTTCTTCATGTTGTCTTGACTACTCGGGTTTTCCGGGGACCTTCTGAGTTGTTAGGTACATGAATGCAGTTATGGTCAGGCGTCATCTCCATCAATGCTTCTCATGCCAATCCATTCGGCCTCAGCTATTCGGCTAGTATCAGCATCGCTGCATCTTATACAAGATCGGGCTTTTGCCGTGACCTTTGCGACAGTGGCATAGAGCTTGCTCAGACAATGAACATTATTCAGGGTGCTCTTCACAGTATATCGCTTACCTGAAGTCTTACGTTCATCTGCCCGATTACTAGTTGACAGTCGCCTTGGACTCTTTACATCAATATGACGACGCAAGGACAATTTGCGAACCTCGAGCGATGGCCGAAAGAAGATGTACCTCGATACCTTCGTGCTCCGATAGGATAGCCGAGGCTAACAAAGCCTATAGATCGTCTATGTCTCGGTACTAGGGCCTTTGCTAGTTGCTGCGCTATTGGAATGGATATTATTTCTTGCAGCCTTCATTTATTGCCTCGTTAAAGTCTATCAGAAAGCAGACCACTGGAGCATCAAAGTTCTGGCAGTCGTTATGATTTTACTTTTCACATTGCTCAGGTGAGTTTATCTTCAGGTTGAGATCATGTCTAGCATCAACTAATTGGCCATGCGCCCAGAGGAATATTCTTTCCAGTCATGATCGCCATCCTTCCCTTGCCGACACAGATAACTCGCTATTTTCCGACGAGATTGACCTCCGTTCTACAATGGTTCGCTTTCTGGACCTTCTCCGTCCTTCTCGTGATACCCTGGCTATTTTGCGTTAATCGGCTCATCATAAATTCTCTGGGAAGAACCAAGCGAGTGAAACAAGCATTGGATGATCGCACTGCACCTAAGACGGTCATAGTCATGCCGGTCTTCAAAGAAGAACCACACGTACTAATGAAGGCGATCGACTCGGTCGTCTGCAGTGATTATCCAGCATACTGTATTCATGTGTTTCTCTCTTACGACGGAGGCCAGATTGATGAGTCTTATCTTCAGGTTATCCAGCATCTCGGCATTCCCATCTCGTTGGAGACCTACCCGCAGAGCATTGATGTGACATACAAAGGTGCAAGGATAACGGTGTCCCGCTTCAAGCATGGCGGCAAACGACATTGCCAAAAGCAAACTTTCAGGCTGATCGACAAGGTGTACGCTGATTACCTCAGGCGTCAAGACGACCTCTTCCTTCTATTCATCGATTCTGACTGCATTCTTGACAAGCTGTGCCTACAAAATTTCATGTACGACATGGAGTTGAAACCAGGAAGCAAGCATAACATGCTGGCAATGACTGGTATCCTCACGTCAACGACAGCGAAGAACTCTCTCATCACAGTCTTGCAGGACATGGAGTATGTCCACGGTCAACTCTTTGAGCGCTCGGTGGAATCTGGATGTGGTGCTGTTACCTGCCTTCCAGGGGCGCTAACAATTCTGAGGTTCTCGGCTTTTCGCAAGATGGCCAAGTACTATTTTGCGGACAAGGCTGAGCAGTGTGAGGATCTCTTCGACTACGGCAAATGCCATCTCGGCGAAGATCGATGGCTTACGCACCTTTTCATGATCGGTGCAGCCGAGCGCTATCAGATCCAGATGTGCACCGGTGCCTTTTGCAAAACCGAAGCTGTTCAGACTTTCAGTAGCCTCCTGAAGCAACGACGCCGCTGGTTTCTGGGCTTCATCACCAACGAAGTGTGCATGCTAACCGATGCCAGACTCTGGAGGCGATATCCGCTTCTCTGCTTGGTACGCTTCATGCAGAATACAATCCGGACGACCGCTTTGCTGTTTTTAATCCTGGTTGTGTCACTCATCACTACATCTAGCAAGATAGAGAATCTTCCCGTGGGATTCATCGCAATCTCTCTAGGTCTGAACTACCTGCTGATGCTTTATTTTGGGCTGAAGCTCAAGCGGTTCAAAGCTTGGCTCTACCCGTTGATGTTCATTGTGAATCCCTTCTTCAATTGGCTCTACATGGTGTATGGTATTTTCACGGCCGGCCAGCGCACATGGGGAGGACCCCGCGCGGACGCAGCAAAAGCGGACGAGCATACATCACCGGAGGAAGCAGTAGAAAAAGCTCGGGAGCAAGGAGATGAGCTCAACGTGATGGTTGATACGTTTCGAACCAAGAAGGACGAAAGAGGCATACCCGTCCGCCCAAGCAAGAAAATCCACGGACGCTTGTCGGGTGCACCACCACTTCCCCATGATTACGGCGATCTTCACAAACAAGAAGACCTCGAGTCCGCCATGGTCAAGTACATGACACCTCTTCCTGGAGTACCTCGGATAGGGCTGCATCCGTCCTACTCTCTGGAGTCAGTGGCAACAACAGATTCTGGTACCAATTCAATCTGTCTCCCCCTGCCCGTGGAGAGCTTAGTCAAGGGACAGGAGCAGGCCAGACACTATCACGCTAGTGGTACACCAGGGTATACCGAGTCTGCAGTAGACATCAAGACGAGCTATAGATCTGGAGTCGCAGTCGTTGGGTCGCGTCTACCATCAGCGGAGGACTATGAGAGTGGCATAGTGCATTTGTCAAGCGACCAGACACATGCTGCAGCCACATATAGCACTGCGAGTGAAACAATAGACGCGGATGCCGACTATCGGAACGTTATTACGACCGACGGACCAGGCATAAAACCCCTTTGACTCAGCAGTATGTTTCTGTTCCTGCCAGCGCGGGCCTGCGGTGATTTTTCCCACCGGATTAGTGGAACGCCAGCTATTCGATGTCTTTTGCGTACTGGGCGACGTGGGAGAAGGTACCGGTGAATGCAGCGATGGAGTGTTGGAATATTTATGCATGTTCCGTCATGAATTGTTAACATGCGCGCCTCTCTTTTGGTGGTATTCAGGATTCCATCTTTCCCCCTGTGGGTGTTTTTATTTTGTATTCAGTTGTAGAAACACCTTGCCCATTGAATCTCCAATTTGGACGATGTTTACTACCGTAGTACAGTACATTATTGCCTGGCGGCCTGAGGCAGTCATATCGAGCTGAGCAGCTTGTGGCCAATAGCAGGGAAAGTAAAACTCTGATTTATCGATAAGCCCCGCCAAGGCGGTGGAAGAGGAATTGCCAGGCAGGCGCCGGGCGGTGATCTGGCGGGAGGGCTCGAGTAGGCGCTGGAAGGTTCGATGATGAGATCCTCAGCTCTGGCTTTTCGCCTGATAGTTTGCACTGCTGGATGAGTCAAATTCGTGTTATTTCTAGCTAGAGGTCTCCTTTCGCATTGCTAGAGCTCCTAGTAACTATCCAAACGCTTGATTCACTCTTGAAAAATTTAAACCTGTTGTAAATCTCCTAATATTATCGATTGATACCCATTCATTGCCGCCGTTGCCCGACATCACATAACGAGTGACGAACTGAGCCACTTTACCTTACTTACCTAACAGATAGTGGCGTGGCTGCAAATTCTCCCCCTCGTCCCTCCTCGTCTTTTTGCTCTGGATCCTCACCCAACCTCCCCCCCTCCCCCATATTACCTCCCACCAACACCTCTTTCTACCTTTTCTCTCTCTTCGCCCTCCCCCCCACCACATCTCCCTCTCTCACACAAAAATGTCTGTCGTTGGTATTGATCTCGGTGCCCAGAGCACCAAGGTCGGTGTTGCCCGTAACAAGGGTATTGATATTGTGCGTATATCTATCTCTTTTTCCCCCATTCTGCCCCTCTACTCATTTTTCCCGCTCCTCTCCTGCTTAGCTTTGGCGGAGAATCATGTTATCATATTATCCCAATCGGAGACTAACCAGTACCTTTCAACCATGAACAGATCACCAACGAAGTTTCCAACCGATCTACCCCGTAAGTTAGCGCCAGTTCATTATTCTGTTCGTTCTGCGCAATAATACTAATCTGGTTTGTGCAATAGTTCCCTGGTTGGTTTCAGCGCCAGAAGCAGACACATCGGTGAGGCCGCAAAGACTCAAGAGACCTCCAACCTGAAGAACACCGTTGGCAACCTCAAGCGTTTGATCGGCCGCTCCTTCAGCGACCCCGATGTTCAGCTCGAGCAGGAATACAGCACGGCCCAGATCTGTGATGTCAATGGCCAGGCTGGTGTTGAGGTCAGCTACCTCGGCAAGAAGGAGAAGTTCACTGCCACTCAGCTGGTCGCCATGTACTTGACCAAGATCAGAGACATCACCGCCAAGGAGTTGAAGCTCCCCGTTTCCGACGTCACCATCAGCGTGCCCGCCTGGTTCACCGACGTTCAGCGCCGCGCCATGATCGACGCTGGTGAGATCGCTGGCCTCAAGGTTCTTCGTCTGATCAACGACACCACCGCCACTGCTCTCGGATACGGTATCACCAAGCTGGACCTCCCCGGCCCCGAGGAGAAGCCGCGCCGTGTCATGTTCGTTGATATCGGTTACAGCGACTACACCGCCTCCATCGTTGAGTTCCGCAAGGGTGAGCTCAATGTCAAGGCCACTGCCTGCGACCGTCACTTCGGTGGCCGTAACTTCGACAAGGCTCTCACCGAGCACTTCGCCGATGAGTTTAAGGAGAAGTTCAAGATCGATGTCCGCTCCAACCCCAAGGCCTGGTCCCGTACCCTCGCCGCAGCCGAGAAGATGAAGAAGGTTCTGTCGGCCAACCCTGCTGCTCCCATGAGCATTGAGTCTCTGATGGAGGACGTCGATGTCCGCGCCATCGTCAAGCGTGAGGAGCTGGAGGTTATGGTCAAGCCCCTCCTTGAGCGTATCACCGTTCCTCTCGAGCAGGCCCTTGCCGAAGCTAAGCTCACCGTCGATGACATCGACTCCATTGAGATGGTTGGTGGCTGTACCCGTGTCCCCGCCGTCAAGGACGCCGTTGCCAAGTTCTTTGGCAAGGGCCTGTCCTTCACCCTGAACCAGGATGAGGCCATTGCTCGTGGCTGTGCTTTCAGCTGTGCCATCCTCTCCCCCGTCTTCCGTGTCCGTGACTTCTCCGTGCACGACATTGTGAACTACCCCATCGAGTTCACCTGGGAGCAGTCCGCCGACATTCCCGATGAGGACACCAGCCTGACTGTCTTCAACCGCGGCAACGTCATGCCCTCCACCAAGATCCTTACCTTCTACCGCAAGCAGCCCTTCGACCTCGAGGCTCGTTACGCCAAGCCCGAGATGCTCCCTGGCAAGGTCAACCCCTGGGTTGGTCGCTTCTCCGTCAAGGGCGTCAAGGCTGACGCCAACGACGACTTCATGATCTGCAAGCTCAAGGCCCGCCTCAACTTGCACGGTATCCTCAATGTTGAGTCCGGCTACTATGTTGAGGACATGGAAGTCGAGGAGCCCGTTCCCGAGGAGAACGAGAACGGCGAGGTGAGTTTCCATTTCCCTATGAATTATCAATCAGATCGATGCTAACGTACTCAGCCCATGGACACTGGCAAGGACGGCGAGCAGCCCAAGAAGACCCGCAAGGTCAAGAAGCAGGTTCGCAAGGGTGATCTGCCCATCTCCTCCGGTACCACTGGCATCGACGAGTCGCTCAAGAACACTTGGACTGAGCGTGAGAATGCCATGTACATGGAGGACAAGTTGATCGCCGAGACCGACGAGAAGAAGAACGAGCTCGAGGCCAGCATCTATGAGCTCCGCGACAAGATCGACGGTGTCTACTCCGAGTTCGCCAGCGAGGAGGAGAAGGAGAAGCTGCGTGCCAAGCTCATGGACACTGAAGTTAGTTCCATATTCCGCTCATTTTTTTTGTCGATATGCTAACTCGTCAATAGGACTGGCTCTACGATGAGGGTGAGGACACTACCAAGTCCGTCTACGTGGCCAAGATGGACGAGATCCGCTTCATTGCCGGTCCCATCATCCAGCGCCACCGCGAGAAGGCCGAGGCCGAGCGCCAGGCCGTCCTGCAGGCCCAGGAGGAGGCGGCCGCTAAGAAGCGGGCCGAGGCCGAGGCTCAGCGCAAGGCTGAGGAGGAGGCCAAGAAGGCCGAGGAGAAGGCTGATGATACGGAGATGAAGGACGCCCCGACTGAGGGCGAGGCCAAGGCTCAGGAGTAAATGTCCTTCTTGGTGGTTGAGCCACTGGCCTAGCGGTGTGGCAGGTGCAGTGCGCTGGAATGTGGTCACGAATCAATACAAATATCTTGATCCCCCGTGTTATTTCCTTTATTTCTGATTCTTCTTATTTTTTTTGTGCATCGCCGAAAACCGGCTGGCTCTTGTGATGTAAAAACGACTCCGAGCCACTTCTGTTCTGCCCTTGTCTTTCCCTGTTCGGATCGCTTTCAGAGCGGTGCTGTTGCTGGTGAGTGGGACATGGGAGGCAGAAGAAAGGATAAAAGACATAGATACGATATGGACCTTTTCGATAGACGTTTCAGGCAACGGTATATGACTGGTTAATTACTACTGGAGGTCATGATGTGCTCCTTATGATTTGAGGCTTACCAGTGCCTTTTATTTATTGTAGCCTCGAGCAAGGGATGGAAAGATGATGGATCATGTGACCCTGCATTCTTATCGGGTACTGAGTAACTATATGCAGGATACGAATACGAGTGTGTAGGTTATGGGTTAGTGAGGTGGTGAGTTGGCTTCATATTTAGCACGCAATCAGAAAATGCCAAAGGACCACATCGCGTGTGTTAAGTGGATTGTAGTTAGCAGTTGGTTAGACTAGTAACGTACTCCGTACCAACTGCCAAGTCGGAAGTTGGCTCAGCATCTTCCAGGTCCTTCCTCCTCGCGATAGTACATAGTAATTTCTATGAGACTAGGTACGGTGTACTTCCCTAGGCCTAAGGGGTTCGAACGTTGGACGGAGTTTAGGCGCTCCCGAATCGGTTAGCATGGGTTGAACTGGATTGACATTTGGCATTTGGCATTTGGCAGGCAGCTAGTAGCTAGTAGACTAGACTGAGGTAGCTGAGCTATGAGGGTCCCTTCCACTGCTCCCTCCCTTTCTCTTTTCTACTCCGTAGTCTCCATGCCAAGGAAGGGGGGGAAAGGGAAAAGCAGGAATGGTCGTTCCTGTTCCTGTCCTATCCGCTGCAGCAACGGTTTCCCTGGGAGTGGAGCCCCCTATTTTTTTTTTTTTTATTTTCTGCGTGGCGCGTGGGTTTCCTCGGTGGCGGGTGTGGGTGTGGGTTGGTGGGCATAGGAAAAGAAAGGGGGTTTTTCTTATCACTACTCCGTACTGATGCCGTATAAGTTGACTATTGTGAGCTCTCATTCTGGTAGTGATTGAGAGAGAATGAGAGAAAGGAGGAGGAGAAGGTGTAGGCTGAGATAGAGTACATTAGTTACATATTACTAGTCGCGCAGGGTTTGTCTCAGGTGGCTTGCTTGGGATTTATCATTTTAAGGCTCTGACTGGGATTTGCGGGTGGTTTTTTGGCTGACTCTTCATTATTAGTTATTATTCCCGACTTCCGTACAACCTCTCGGACTGGGTATTTGCCGGATGCAACGGATGGGTTTTTTGTTCTTGTTTTTTTTTTTTTCGTTCACTTATGAGAATTATGAAAAAAAGATATGTAATGCACAGGGTAGGCAGGGCAGGGTGGAAAGTCGACGACGCTAAGGCAAGCCATTTCAACCCTATGACATGGATGGGATGATTGCAGCAGTTCCCCCCGAACCATTCAGATAGATCGTTGGTTAGGGTCACGGCAGTGTGCTGTGCTTGCTGCACACACACACGCGCGCTTGGCGTTTCGAGTCATGCAATGTCGTGTTCTTCGAGGAGGAGGGGGGGTGTGCGCAGAGTACATACTGATGTGTAACGTGGGCGGCAATTGTGCCTCTCAATTGATTGAGTTCATTCATTTATTCATGATTATGTATTGTTATCCTAGTCAGTTGACTTCACTTACCGGCACTCAGTAAACTAACTTAAGGGGAATGAATGGATCCCTACCTACATAGCACTACTCCCGTAAATGATCTGAACTCAACGAGACTAGGACCACTCAGGTAATCTAGTCCAGTGGGGACTAGACTAGTCTGGGCAAGATGGCACGCGAGGATCTCCGGAAAGAGCCTGGAGGAGATTCCAGTTCCAACTTTCCCTTTCCCTAGTCTAGTATTTCCCTACAGTAGTCGCTCTGGGAGATGCCATGTTAATTCCGAGTCCTTGGCTGCTTCGGACAATGAGACTTACTCACACACAGTCTGTGATTGAGGAAGGACAATACGACAACTTGAATGCTTTGGGATTTACGAGCCCACCTGACACACTGTCATCCTCCCCCAGCCTTTCATCTGTCTCCATCCTTGGTCCTATTCGCCCTTGTCGTCATCGCCCTGACCTTTTCCCTTGGCCAAGTTGAGGAACGATCAGGGTCCAAGCCATGGAACCACGGCGAGAAAATGCTGCGCTTTTGAGTGACCTTCAAGATTCTTAAAAGCCTCCAAGTGGAGGTGCCAAATGCCCGCCCCGCTGGCTCGGGTTGAAGTCATCTCGGATTATTCATTCATTAGTTGTATTATTGCTACCCCATTTTCTTCCTTAATTCTTCCTAATCTACTTGGTACTATCACTTGCCCCAAAAAATCCTCTCTCCCCAATTTCGCTACGGATCGGCCGGATCGCCGGCTGGGGTCAGCAACAGTCATTCCGTTCTTGAACTATTCCTTATAATTATCCCCGAGGGCTCGCTTCGCTTGGCTCCCCTCTTCCCCCCTCCCCTTCCCCCCTCTCCCCTCTCCTCCCCTCCCCCTTGACTTTAACTTAACTTGCTCTGCCCTGGTCGGTGTGTTACAAGGTCATTGGTCAACGTCAATATAACCCGGACAACCGAACCCGAAGGTGCCATTATCTCCGGGACCAGCGGCCAAGGACCTTGAACGATCTGAATCAGAGCATGCGATCATAGCGCTGTGTGTGTGGCTTTCCATCCCTCGGCGCATTGGCGGCAACCTTTCTTGTTCCCTTTCATCTTTCTCCCTTCTCTTGAACACATATAGAGATCAACACGCTTTGCGAAACGTGCTACGCCCCCTCTCCCTCCCTTGCGCCTCGACCCAGGATGCATGCAGAAGCGTGATTGATACTCTCTATCCCCGGCAATTGCACATTCAAAAACACACCCGACACCCCCTATCGCATTTGACTTTCATTTGCCGGAGATGAAGCCTCAGGGCCTGCTGGCCGTCGTCTGCACGATTGGGTCCCTCGCCACGGCCACAACAGTCACTTCTCTGCCCAACTCGCAACCCCAACCGGCGGTCCATCACACCTACGGCGAGCTGCTGAATCACAACGATCCGGACCCGTTATATGAGCAGTACGGACTGAATCGGTCGGAGGAATTCAAGTATTTCCAGGAACCGGGCAACGATGACATTCTCGGCCACTATGACTCTCGCTTTTTCACCGAGCCCGTCCCCGATGAGGAGCGATCCCACACCTTGACGCATATGATCCGCGCATATCTGAACTTTTTCGAGGACAATGGGCTCGAGACGTGGATCGCACATGGGACGCTTCTCGGGTGGTGGTGGAACGGAAAGGTAAAAAAGACCCCTTGCTCTCTTTCCCCACACAGGCCCCTCCGTGGCGCTTCCTGGTGTCCACCAAACTCACGCTAGGAGACAGGTCATGCCTTGGGATTGGGACATTGACACCCAAGTGATGGAACCCACGCTTTTCCAACTAGCGGACCATTACAACCAGACCGTCGTCCAGTACACCGCGAAGGAGGAGAATGTGGAGCGCAAATACCTCGTCGACGTGAATCCGTGGGCTCGTCAACGCGATCGAGGCAAGGGACTGAACATCATCGATGCGCGCTGGATCGACATGAACACGGGGTTGTATATCGACATCACGGGGCTGAGCCGGCTGGATGCGACCAAACCCACGGAGTGGCAATGCAAGAACTTGCACAAGTACCAGACCGACGATATCTATCCTCTGCGCCGGACGACCTTCGAGGGAGTGCCGGCTAAGGTGCCATTCAAGTACGATCAGGTCTTGGAGGATGAGTACTCGAAGAAAGCGTTGACAAACACGCACTATCATGAGTAAGTTGATTTTCTGGCATCAAGGACTGGGTTTTCTGGGTTGCTAACGTACCCCGCCTGTGCCAGCCATACTTTTGATCCTGAACTCGAAGAATGGTTGATGGATGAGCCGGAGCCGAAGGAGAAGGAGGACGATAAGGACGACCGGCAGTATGAATGATGCTGGTCGTGGAGAGGTATATAACCACTTGAATTTGTTCGTTTTCGCTGTGACATGCATCCATTCAGGCATACTGTTGGGTATATAAAAGGGTGTTGGTGGGCGTTCTGGATGATATGGGATGGCGTTGGGTTGTCTATAGGATTTATACAGGCCAGTCAATACTATGTAATTGATCTAGTGAATTGAATCGAATACCGAGACTCGATCGAGTCGTCTTGCATACAGCACTCACCATCGAGCAGATGAAAGGGTGGACCAGTCGTACATGTGGAGCTGGAGGTATATCTCAAACAGGCACTCTAATTATTGGAACTCTACGGAGTACTCGAGGCAGCCTACACGTAATCGGATTGAGAATAAGCAGCGACGATCATTACCAGGTGCCTGGAACTGGTGCCTGAGGCAGGGTACCAGGAACAGGAACGGAGTGTTGCGCTTATCTCCATGTGATTTTATCCGGCTGACAAAACCGCATCGAAGAAGATCGAATCCCGCCATCATGGAGTCGAGGAGTCGAGGAGTCTCTTTTATATCGCCTGAAACCTCAACACCATGATTCAATCCCTACCATACCCCTCATCCTCCTTTACATGACCACAACATCGCTCACCATAAATCCACCATGTCCGACACGCCAACCCCACCGATCGAAGACCATACCGTTCACGAACCTGACACCGCCGACGACGCCGCCGAGCAGCCCCAACTCCAGCTCACCATCCACCACCGCAACACCGCCCACACCCTGACCCTCCCCGCGAACGCCACCGTCCACGACCTCACCCTCCACCTCGAAAAGCACCTCAACATCGCCCCTTCGCACCAAAAACTCCTGATCACCCCTCCCCCGCCCCGCACCCTGATCCCAGGGACACTCAAACCGCCC